TATAAGTTATAGAAGAAGCAGCATTTTCGTTAGTATTTATTGGATCAACTATCGTAAATTCCCCAAATTATGGGGGTCATTACAAACTTATACTCAATCTTTAAAAACCCGTTTGACTGGTACCCAAATTTATAAAAACCTTATAAATGAGACTCTCCGTTACTCAAATCGTTAATAAGTCTGTTAATTCTTATGTGGCAAATGTGAGTCTCATTTTTTTTGCTCTTGCAAGAAATTAAGAGCCATGTTCATTGGCTGTGTATGTATAAAATTAAATTTGAAAATGAATTTAATTCATTTAAAGGTTCTACTCCGGTAGTTATTAATAGTCATATACAAATAAATTATTTTATTCTTGTTGTCCTCATCAAATGTAATTACGGCTATATTTGTGCCAAAATGTGCAAATGTTTGGAGCTGAATTTGTGAAAGGTCAAATTCTGGTTTATGTGAAGTTTATTGAATGGCTTTTATCACAAAAAGTCTATGAGGTTCACGAAACTATTAGGTTGAGTTATCACAAAACAAAGTTTATTTAATTTTTCAATTATACCCATATGAAATCAAATAATAAAAGAATGCATTTAATGATATATTGTAATTCTAAATTATTAGAGCATTCACAATAGGCTCCTTAAACCGCCTCTTTAGACAAATTTTAGGGAGGAATTGGAAAATACAACTCCAACCATGCTCCCTATCCATCTCCTAAAATAGGGAGACTTCTAGGAGCTCCTAAATCTGAGAGAGAAATGACTTCTAGTGGCTCCCTATAATTTAATGTTGTTTTATTTAATGAGTATTTCAAACCTTTAATTAATGCTAACTATTTTTATATATTATTTTGCAATAGAAATTGCCCAATTAAAAAAAAAAGTTATATCATTTATGACTCCCTAAACTAGAGAGCATGATTGGAGTTTAAATTTTATAGAGAGCTCATAAAATAACTTTTATATGTTTTTAGCTAAAATTTAACTGAAAAATAGGCATCTTTCCAATAATGTATGGCTCGTTATCTGGTTCTTCTTGAGCAAGTACAGTCCAATCCGTGAAGTTGACTAATCTGCAGACACCGTTTTGAGCTAACTTGTCTCCAAAATGCATTTAATGAGTCTCAAGCTTATTACACTGAAACAAACACAAAATTTATTAAAAGCACAAGTTTAACTAAAAAATATAACCAAATCATAAGTTAAAAGGATACAAAATGATATGTAATTATGCACCGATCACTCCTACTGGCTCCTTATAATTTAATATTGTTTTGTTTTATGCATAGTTTAAACTTTTAATTAATGCTAACTATTTTTTATAACTCCCTCAACTAGGGAGTATGATTGGAGTTCAAATTTTATAGAGAGCACCTAAAATAACTTTTGTGTGTTTTTAGCTAAATTTTAACTAAAAGAGAGCATGATTGTAGATACTCTTAACAGGGACAAAATGGTCAAGAAAAATGTGCATTTAATGCTAGCCCATTTTCCCAAACTTTTTCATGGGAAGGGAAAATGAAACCCAAGGGTTTTCCCATGTGCTAGGCAACCATTTCTCATGCATGGACTTACCAAACATGGGAAAGCAATTGATTTCTCATCCCCAGGTCGTCTTTTCCATAAACTAAACGTAGCCTTAAGGTTAATATGTGTGCCCACAAATAGTCCTTGTTGTGAGTTTCCATCAAAAGTTCTATTAGTTTGTTGATGTGGCGCTTATGTGAAACCCACATATCCAAGGCCATACTATTGTAGTATTCTATAATTTCTCATACTATAGTGTTAGTGCCATATGAATTTAAATAAAGTATATATTTTTTAAAGTTCATTAAAAAAATTTGATTTTTTATCGCAAATGATCTCGGAAATTCATGAAATTATCACATTTCGTCCTTCAATGTTTTTGTGACATTAATGGTCCATAAGTTTTTCATGCCAAAAGTTGCTCAAATGTTTTACTTATTAAAGCTTGCACTGTGCCATTATTTAAATGGAAATTTGTTGGATCACAAATGCGATTTGATTTTGTGAGAATGAAATAGATGATAACTTTTATAAGAAAAAGAGGACTTGGGAGAGAAAAATGGTGTTAATGTTTATAGGAATATGTGAAAACATAAATGTACAGAAGGAAAATAGAGTGGTAAAATTAATTAAAAATTAATCTTAAAAAAAAAAAAACATTTGCCAGAACGATAATAAAAATTAAATTTACTATATATAATTTGTTTTCACAAAGAGAAAGAATTAGTTTGTTTAATCTCAATCATTCATGGTAGCCTAATCTAATGGTTGAAAATAATTTATGGTGCCACAGATTCCCATATATCCACCCTCATACATATGTATATGCATGTATTCAAATTTTATGTTATCTGCAAAGGAAAATCGATTAACGTTGACACTGGTTTTACCTCCTTTATCTGATCATTGTTTTTTTTTTTTTTTTTTTTTTTTTTTTTTTCATTTCTTTTCATTTTGAGGATTGTTCTCATGATTCTTTCTAATTGGTTTATTCAAATTCATAATATATAACATTGAATTATAATTTAGCATTTTATATACATCGAATCGCATTTAGAAACATATATGGTTTTCTTTCGAAAACCCCAAGTATTTTTAATAATCAAAATTCAAATTCAACCTTCTGATTCTCATATATAAATTCAACCTTCTGATTCAAAAACCACTATCAAGTGCTTGTCTAACTAGTTTGAGACTGCTTTTCTTGAAAGCATTTCTGCTCATAAGGACTTTTATTATAAAGATGTTGAACTTTTCATAAAAAAATCTAAGTGCTTCCTTGAAAAAACACTTGAGAGTGCTTCATGAAGAAGCACATATAGCAAGTGCTTCTTCAGAAATCCCTTCTATACTTTTCTGTCAAACGTTGTCAAAAGTTCTTTTGGTTGTTAGAAATCACTTTTAATCCTTCTAGGAGCACTCCCAAACAGGCATGCTAATATATAAGCAAGTTAAAAGCTTAGAACGAGAGAGACTAAGAGAATTGTAACTATTGAGCTAACTTTCCTGAGAAATCAAAGAGAGGTAGCGAGGGAGATGGGAGTGCCATCCTTTTTTCGTTGGTTGGCTAACGAAAAAAGTGCATTATTTAAATTCTTGATTAGAGAGAGATGAGCATACAACAACAGTTGTATTCTCTCTTCACAAGTGCATTATTTCTTGATTAGATTGATAATGGTGAATTAGTTAGTATACTATCTTTCTTCTTATCGACATGTTTTAGTTTTACCATGTTCTTCTAGCTCTAAAATATCACAAATGCCAATCTGTAAAAATAAATAAAATAGAATTACTATTGACACAATAAAAATTAAATTTTTATTAATTATGAATAGACATGTCAACATGTGATTGGTTGAATAAGGAGTCATTGGTGGAATGCTACATGATAAATAAGTCTTATAGGTTTTGTCCTATTGGTGGAACCGATTCACAGCTCTCTTGAAATAATAAAATATAAAAGTTGAGGATGATTGTGGAGTGCAAATGATGTTTATTTTTATTTTGCATGTACTTTATGAACCAGGTGGGTTTGATTCTCTCATTCTGCACAGATTTATTCTTTGATAGAAAAAAACAAAAGAAAAAGAAAAGACATCAGTTGCATTGCTGTTGCTTGAACCCAAACCTCTCATTCTGCAAATCATACTCCACATGGTAATTCTGCATTTGGAAACTCCCCAGAATTATAGAAGGCCCAGACGAGATCACAGGCAAATTATCACCCCGAATCGTCAAGCACAGCACCTTCCAACCGGCCGGCGCCATGTAATTCTCCTCCGGCAGCGCCATCTCAGCCCCTCCCTTGAAGTGAAACGTCACGCTTGGAAACATCGGCGTTTCGATCCCGGAAACATTATAGCACGGCCTCAACCTAGTCAAAGCCTCCACTTCCTCCGCCCTCTTGTAGCCCTTCATCAGCTTCTCGAACTCTCCCGCCACGAGCTCGAACACCTCAGGCGCCATATGCGTGAAGGTGGTCCCGGAATCGACTATGGTCCCGCCGGAGCCGTTCTTGTCAGGCCTTAGGTACCTGTACGGAATCTTCACGCGCCGCCCTCCCACAGTGATGCGGCTGAGGCCGACGTAGTAATAGGTGAGGAAAGCCCCCTTTCCGGGGACTTCTGGGTTTTTCACAAACGGCGTGTAGCTGATGCCTTTAGTTTTCTTGACGGAGTCTTTTCCGCCGACGAGGACCAGTGAGCTGCTTTTGTTAGTGTCGTCGAATAGGCGAGAGAGAAGGCAGTAGGAGAATTTTTTGACGGCCAATTGGGTGGGGAGAGAAGCTGGGCCGCGGCCCAACCCGGCAATGCCCGCGGCTGGTTGGTCGGAAGCGCGAATGGAGCAGCCCACAAGGAAATCGGGTACGCGTCGATTAGGGAGGTGCAGCGTTTCAGAGAGTAGACTTCCACTTGTGTCGCCAGAGCCGTAGGGGTATGTGTACCAAGGGCATCTCCGGGTACAGTTTTTCGAACCGAGTTTGCAATCTGGGCAGTGAATTTTCGGGTAAACCATAGCGCATTTGGGGTTCAAGCAGGCGAGGGGTTCGGAAGATGAGGACAAGTTGGGAATAAAAGATTTGACTTCGGCGGTGTTGTTGAGGTAAGTGGAGCAATTGATGCACTGGTAGTTTTTGCCGCAAGGGAACCAAGTTAAATCACTACCAGTGTCCATCATGAAGGGGAGGGTTTGGGGAGGGGTGCCAAAGCTCAGGGGAATGGAGTAGCCTCCATAGCTGTGGGAGAAAAATGGGATTTCGGTGTTGGTATGAGGAGGGGTAGTTTGGGGATTTTTGAGGTGGTGGGCTCTTTTTAAAGAGGAATTTGCTAAGTAGCTGAGGTGCTGGTAAGGATCTGGATGTGGGTTTTTGGGTAAATGTGAGATGGGTATGGTGATAATATTGGAAGAAGTAATATACGGTAGAAGAAGTAGAGAGAGAAAGAGCAGCAAAGAATATGAAGAAGATGATGAGGAAGAAGCCATGATTTTGATAGATTGGATAGAGGAAGCTTAATTTTTATTGTGGTTCCAGTTAGGTTCGATGATGAATTTTGCCAGCTTCAATCTTTGATACCAAACAGGTGTCTTTGTGCATGTGTTTAAGCAACAGAAAGAAAGACTTACATGTCCAAACCAAAAGAATAGATGAGTTTGGTTTCTACTTGACCTTAGCAAAACAACAATTTTGTTTGGCAGCTTGTAAATCCTCTTTTGGGTTGAGGTGTTCAAATTCCAATTCCAATCCGTGCTTACATGTCTCTCTCTCTGTTTCTCTTTTTTCACTTGGTTTTCCCAATCTCTCTCTCTCCTCTTTCTTTTTTTTCTTTTCTTGCTCTCCGCCAATTTTCTTCTACCCCTCAAGTGCAAAAAAAATTACTTGTAATGGGGATAATGTTGTTTTGTTATCTCAGGCTTAATTCAATGACACTTGAAAAAGTTAACCCACATGCCGTTGCATTATTGGTCGGAGATAGCAATAAGTGTAATCCTCGTTGCATGAGAGTGTTTCTCCCTCAAGTGAGCATGATCACTTTGCATGAGAGTGTTTCTCCCTCAAGTGAGCATGATCACTTTTTTTATTTTATAAAGTTCGTTTACATATACCAAAAGCAGTGCATATATAGACTTATTAGAGACGAGTCCTCTTCATATGTACATCATTTAATAAAAGAAGTTGATATTAAAGGTGTGCGATACAGTTGAGATAGGATGTGTGGGAGCACATATTTCTGCAACCAATAAACGGGCAACACATGAAAAAGCAATATTCCTTAGGTCAACTAATTACCTTAATGAATGGGAATATCTCCCCAAATCAAGGATGAGAGTTCCACCAAATCTCATTGGTAATTCCAATCTCCTATTTTTGGATAAAAATAATCCTAATTAAATAAAGAATTTATTCTTCAAACCCTAACCTACAAGAAGTCTATAAATACATGGCTACACAACACACAAAAGGTAATTCCAGATCCCTAACAAAATTGATGTCACACCTCTCTCTCTCTCTCTCTCGCCGCCCCTCTCACTCTCTCTCTCACACGGCACCGACCATCCGGCTCTCCTTGTGAGAGAAGACCTCCATCCTTTTCATTACTTTGTCGTATGTTTCTCAAGATCCAATTAACTAACTTAGGCATCAGAGGGTTTTTAGCCAACACCCCGTGGGTGTGGTCAATTTACTCCGGTCTGTTTCGTAGGGATCAAGGAGGAAGAAGAAGGAAGTTCGAGGGACAAAGAAATCATCAGCGTATTCCCCGTATGAATATTCGCACAAACATGATGTTTTTTCTATTTATTAATTTTTGGGAAGATGTGTGAAGATCAAATTTTGGGGTACCTCAAGATTTTTTTGATATAATTAATTTAAATTGGCTTTTTATCACAAATGGTCCTTGACGTTTACGAAATTATCACGAATGGTCCTTGAGGTTTTTTTGTGACACTAATAGTCCTTAACGTTTGGACTTTTTATCACAAATGGTCCTTGCCGTCAAAAATTCTATTATGTGTATGATGTGGAAGATAAGTGGAGCCCACATGTACAATCACATCGTGACATGTGGATTAAATAAATAAATAAATATTTTTTTATTATGAAAATCCATTAAAAAAACCATTTAGAGAGTAGAGAGAGAGAGAGAGAGAGAGAGAGAGAGAGAGAGAGAGAGAGAGAGAGAGGTGGTCAATTTACTCCGGTCTGTTTCGTAGGGATCGAGGAGGAAGAAGAAGGAAGTTCAAGGGACAAAAAAATCATCCGCATATTCCCCGTATGAATATTCGCACAAACATGATGTTTTTCTATTTATTAATTTTTGGGAAGATGTGTGAAGATCAAATTTTAGTGTACCTCAAGATTTTTTTGATATAAAATTAAATGGAAGTAAAAGATGGTACACAGCCACACCAATTGTGAAGTTTGGGTGTTAAATTGTCAAAATTTATTCTTTGATTGGCTAATGCGCACACTTGTATCAATCCCAGGAATATTTATAAAAATTTGCTAAATAAATTTTGTTAAAGCGTAAAATCAACTTGAGATGAAATGGGCTAAATATATATATATACCAAAGTATCTTTTCACCCACAGTCTGCGCGGCTACATAAGTGAAAACTTGCTAACTGGATATCGTAGTGGAGCAAATAATGCTTAAATTGAACACTTCATTGATGTTAGCCCTTTGAAATTAGGAAAAGAAAAAAAAAAAAAAAAAAAAGACAGCCTCATACGAGAACTAATACTTGAGACCAAAAAAGTAAAACCCATAATAGTTCTTTACGCATTTTGTGAATATGAGTCTAACAAATTATTGTGCATAATTAATTTGAACATATGAAATGTTATTCAAGTCTAATTACAATATAAAATGGTAAAGCTCGAATTTCACATAACAACTTCCATAATAAGAGTGTCCACCTCTCATTCCATGTATGTTATTAAAAAGTTTGCTCATCGCAACCTTAAGACACTTCTTTCAAGAGAGACTAGAATTGTCGCCAGTGCATTGAGTTGCACCATAAATTGTATCATTGTTCAAAATCCCAAACTTTAGCTTCCCATGAACAAAGAAGAGTGGACTAAGAGGAGCTTGAATACATAATTTGGTACTCATGAACCTTTTTATCGAATAAGGGAGAATCAATGAATTCTTTATTGTTCACGTACACCCCATTTATCGTGTCTTTTAAACCAAAGAAAAATGCATTTGAGTATTTTAAGAGGCAATTTTCATACCAAATTATAGCTCTCCTTGCTTGTAAGGGTATTGTCTGAGGATCTCTTCGCTTACTTCTCCTATACAACTTTCGCAAAGTATGTATGAGATCAATGACGGACCCAGGAATTTTTATAAGGGTAGGCTAAATAATTTTTTTAGAGGATATATATTATAGGCCTTTTTTCTCTTGAAACAAAAATGTAAATAAGTGTGCTCCCGTCTCTCATTCCATGACCCTTTTTTATGAGTTCACTCTTTGCATCATCAAGACACTCTTCACAATTAAAGTGGGAAAGGTCACGAGTTCAGGGTTTAGGTCCCAAAAAGCTCTATACGACTCTCTCGAACCCTATGTTGAAGTGAGTCTCCTAATTAATCAAGGAGATTTATTTCCTTGATTAATTAGGGGATTTACTTTCCTATTTTATAGATTTATTTCCTTTGGTTAATTAAGGGATTTACTTCTGCTACTCTCCCCCTACAACCCATGCTCAAATCCGAGTCTTAGATTTTGTGTTTATGGGCTCTGTAGTTCTGTGGTCTCTGTTGACCAATTTATGGATCACTTGAGTATGATGCATATTGGTGGCTTACTTCCTCAATTTCATTCTCAGCAGATCCCTCTTCATGGCTCCTCTGTCCTTTGGTTTCTTGATGGCGGCAGTGATGACGACGACGACGGCGATTTGGGTTAGATATTGTACTTGGGGTTTCTGTAATTTGGGGTTATTTTGTTGTATTGTGCAAGTACTAGAGTGGACATCTCTTTAAAAGGCCACGAGTGCAGTGAGCTACACTATAAACTGAATCTTTATTCCCAATAGGTTGGGTTCCGTGAGCATGTAGTTGTTGGTTACAAGCAGCCTCATTACATATCTGAGTTAATGATTGATTAACTTTGTCGTCAAATAACACCGGAGCATTATACATGTTATTATTTGTCAAATAACCGCTTTAGTCATATCTGGTACACGAAAGAAGTTTGAACTTGAGTATTTAAAGAGACAATCGTCGTATCATATTATACCCCCTTCTGCGTCTCAAGGCATAGCTTGCGCAGCTCATCTGATGCTCCTCTAAAACATTTTTCACAACCTGCGTGCCTGCGAGTGGTTTTACTCTCGAATATTGCACTAGCCGATAGACATAAGGCCATCTCCAACCCTAGAGGACTCAAACCCAAAATTTCACCTTCCAAAATACAACTATTCACATATTTTTAGGACTCAAACTGTTTTTTCTTCTAACCTTATGGACTCATAATTTGAGTCCGTAACTTTATTAAACTGTTGAAGAATAATATAATCATATTTTATTTTTGTGGTTAATTTTTTTTAGTTAATTTTTGCATATTACTCTGTGATTTATTTTTTTGAACATTTTGACATAATTTTTTTGAAATTTCACAAACATAATTTTATTAACAAATTGATGGGTATTTATAGAGTTTAGGATATGTTTTGAGGTTGCATCTAACTTAGAATAATATATTTACTTATTTTTACCTTTGGATTTTTTTTCCCCTTTGATCCAGCCAAAATTTAATATCAGCCGTTGATTTCTAGCCTTTAGGTTTGAAAAAAAGAATATTGAAAGAAGCCCATTTGAAATGCAGCCATAGAAGTCCAATTTTTAAGTTGCCTAGGCTTTGACAAGTGGCCAACAACTTGGGGTAGTGGGTAACAGCCCATCATTTGCTTCAAATGAGTCCTCCCCACAAAAATTCTGTCTGGATTGGAATCTGAGGCCAAATTCCGCCCCATTTTTCAGTCAACTCAAATTTCCCCCCCTCCAAATGCATGGGTCAGAGAAGGTTTTGGGCTAAAAATCCCAAATTTTGGGCTTTGCCTCCCATGGTTGGAGATGACCTAAGTCTGACCTTTTTTTTTTTTTTTGGTCAAATGTACTTTCCATCATGGTGAATTAGCTCATGTTTTTGCTCTTGGAGCAAATCCCATACCCTTCAGAATTAGCTGCTCCACGTAATTCCTGTTGAATCCATGTTATATTTATTAACTGCACTGCCTTGAGCTATTGGAGAAGGAAAACATTTATGCCCAATAATTTCAAATTAGATTAAAGAGACAGTTATGCTTTTCGTGCGGGTGCACAAGTAGCGCACTCGTGGCTGCATTTTGCTTTTTTATTTTTATCTTCTTTAAAAAAAAAGATAAAATTAGGTGAATTTGATTGGATTGGAAAATAGGATTATGATTTAGCCAATATAATTTAATCAATTCACATTGGATTATGATTTAGCCAATATAATTTAATCAATTCACATTGGGTTATGATTTAGCCAATACAATTCAATCGAATTAAAAGTTTAAATTCAATCCAATCCAATTCATCTATATATATAAAGCAAAAGGCAGAGAATGGCGAAACATTCAAAATACTAAAAAATGTCCTTGGTTAATGCAAACATTAAGAATTGAAATTATTAATTAAATGAGGATAATATGGTAAATTCACACATTTTCATATAAAAAAATAAAAAATAAAAAAATAAAATAAATAATGGATCCTATTTTTATAGAATTATTTTTTTAAATTCTAAAATAAATTTTAAATTTTAAAAAGAAAAGCCTCTCGCAAGCGCGGAAGCACGTGCGGACAAGCTAGTTAATATTAAATTAAATTAAATTGGATGATCCATTTTTATAATTAAAAAAAATAATGATAATGAAATATGAAACATTATCGTCAAATTTAATCTAATATATTAAACATAGTCCCATTTTCCTGGACCCTATGATCCAACAACTAACCCATTTGAATGGTGGCGACGAAGGACCCGACCCATGAGAGCATGAGCATGTGATCATTGATGGCAATCTGGTCGAGAGGATGAGGGGCGAGATTCCGAAGACTAGAAGCAATTCTCTGTTGGGTGGGTGAGGAGATGTAGTGTATTTTCATATAAAAAAATGAGGATAATATGGTAAATTCACACTTTTTCATATTAAAAAAAAATTAAAATTAAAAGAAAAATCAGATAATGGATCCTATTTTTATTGAACACAACTACCCATTATCTTTTTTAATTCTAAAATAAATTTTAAATTTTTTTTTAAAAGCCTCTTGCAGGCGCGGAAGCGCGTGCAGAGAGGCTAGTATTAAATTAAATTAAAAGTTTAAATTCATTTCAATCCAATTCAATTAATATTAAATTAAATTAAATTGGATGATCCATTTTTATAATTAAAAAAAATAATGATAATGAAATATGAAACATTATCGTCAAATTTAATCTAATATATTAAACATAGTCCCATTTTCCTGGACCTTATAATCCAACACCTGACCCATTTGAATGGTGGCGACGAAGGACCCGACCCATGAGAGCATGAGCATGTGATCATTGATGGCAATCTGGTCGAGAGGATGAGGGGCGAGATTCCGAAGACTAGAAGCAATTCTTTGTTGGGTGGGTGAGGAGATGTACTGTATTTTTCTTCTCGCCAGTATTTTCATATAAAAAAATGAGGATAATATGGTAAATTCACACTTTTTCATATATAAAAAATTAAAATTAAAAAAAATCAAATAATGGATCCTATTTTTATGGAACACAACTACCCATTATTTTTTTAAAATTCTAAAATAAATTTTAAATTTTAAAAAGAAAAGCCTCTCGCAGGAGCGAAAGTGCGTGCGGAGAGACTAGTTAATCTATATATATAAAGCAAAAGGCAGAGAATGGTGAAACATTCAAAATACCAGAAAATGCCCTTGGTTAATGCAATTCTCTGTTGGGTGGGTGAGGAGATGTAGTGTATTTTCATATAAAAAAATGAGGATAATATGGTAAATTCACACTTTTTCATATTAAAAAAAAATTAAAATTAAAAGAAAAATCAGATAATGGATCCTATTTTTATTGAACACAACTACCCATTATCTTTTTTAATTCTAAAATAAATTTTAAATTTTTTTTTAAAAGCCTCTTGCAGGCGCGGAAGCGCGTGCAGAGAGGCTAGTATTAAATTAAATTAAAAGTTTAAATTCATTTCAATCCAATTCAATTAATATTAAATTAAATTAAATTGGATGATCCATTTTTATAATTAAAAAAAATAATGATAATGAAATATGAAACATTATCGTCAAATTTAATCTAATATATTAAACATAGTCCCATTTTCCTGGACCCTATGATCCAACAACTAACCCATTTGAATGGTGGCGACGAAGGACCCGACCCATGAGAGCATGAGCATGTGATCATTGATGGCAATCTGGTCGAGAGGATGAGGGGCGAGATTCCGAAGACTAGAAGCAATTCTTTGTTGGGTGGGTGAGGAGATGTACTGTATTTTTCTTCTCGCCACACCCATCCCATATGAGAGAGAGTCATAGAGACAAACATACAGAGAGGGGCGGGTAGGCGTCTAGGACAGGGGAGTGGAGATCTGGTGTGGGGCTGACTTTTTTTTTAGAGATATTTTTTTAAAAGATTTTATTTAGAATTTTTTAAAGGTGTGCGGGTGGAGGTTGATCTTCTCCATAGTATGAAGGAGATGGTGGAAGTTGATCACCTGGTGGTGGATAATTCTGCCTTTTTTTAATCGGGTGATGGCGTAAAAAAATGGTGTTTGTTGTTTGGTGTTTTTAAAATTTATTTTTAATAACCAAATTGGTGTTTTGATACAGAGTAAAAAAAATGATGATATTATAATTTTTAAATCAGTTTTTTTTTTTCAAGAATGTTTAGATTAAATCTAAGGGTGGTTGACCACAATTTTTTTGAACCATAAGGTCCAGAAGAACAAGACTAATTAAACATAATTCTATCAAATAACTTAAAATGTTCATATCTTTCTTATTGATGATTGTTAGCAGCTCGATTACAATTCTTAGGCACATCCTGTTTAACTGCTCTTATTCTTCAGTGATGTGGAAGAACTGCCCTCTCCAGCTGGACTTCCAGCTTACCCCAATGACCGATCTCAAGGGTTGGGTTGAGCATATCCTTCTGAGCTGGAAGCCACAAGTAACGGCAATGGCCTTGATGTTGGCTTGGGCTGTCTGGAATGAAAGGAATAACGTGGTTTGGCAGGGTAAGCGGAGAAGCCAGGGTGAGCTGGTGGAAGGGACTATGCGGCTACTCGATGACTTTCAGAGGCTGCACCAACCCCCTACCAAAGTTTCATTTGGGATTCATGCAAAGTGGCAAAAACCTCCTGTTGGGGTCATCAAGATCAACGTGAAAGGTACCTTTAGAGCCCATAATGGGTCTGGTGGTGGTGGCTTAGTGGCGAGGAATGAGGATGGAGTTTTTGTTGCTGCAAAAGCTTGTTTTTTCCCCTGGGTTTCATCACCGGCACATGCTGAGGCCCTTGCCTTTAGGGAGGCTTTACAATTTGCTAGTGATAGGAACTTTAATCACTTGCAGATGGAGTGTGATGCTCTGGAGTTTGTCCAATCGTTGAGTCGCACAACGGCGGATACTTCCTCAATTGGTGCTTTGGTGGAGGACTGCAAAGCGATCCTTGCGCTTTTGCCTAACA